TAAATGTTAGTTAATGAATTTAGAGAAACAATTGATCAAGGCTTACTCTGAACCATCTCAGCTCCTCTTGCAGTTTCAGAGCCGCTGTCGATGCGGTCCCTCCGCTACAGTATTTTGTAGAGGCGGCTTTGTGCAGAATGGTGTCACCGTCATTGTCGATCCCCAAAACCAGCCTCCGCCTTACCACTTCCCTCTGCCATACCACTTCCCTCTGCCATACCACTTCCCTCTTCGGGTTGATGAGATCAAAGATGTGGTTACGGTGTAGAATGGCTACGTGCAGAATATTCTGCCCACTCCTGGTAACATGCTCCAGTGCTTGAGGATAGACTTTGATCATCTCGGCCACAATCTCCTTGATCCCTGTCCTGGCGGCAATAATCAATGGAGTATCCGGCGCTGGCTCAATGGGGGTGGCGGTGCCATCACATCCGGTTTGGGACGACGCCTGCCCTGTTTCTTTGCCTCCCTTTTTACGGTCTCCTGAAAAGCAAATAATGATGTTGTTCCCTTCTTCGTCGCAGTGCTCACGCCAAGTGGAAGAATCCATTTTTACCAGCATCTTGGCGGTGGTGCCAAGACATATGGCTTGGGACGACGGCTCCCCTGTTTCTTGGTCTCCTGAAAAGCAAACAATGTTGTTGTGCCCTTCTTTGTTGTAGTGCTCACGCCACGAGCAAGAATCCATCTTTACCAGCCTCTTGGCCAAGTCAACTGCAAATCGATGCTTCCTTTTTGTTTTCCCAATTTCCTTAATAAAATTCCATCCTGAAAAAAAAAAAAAATTCTAATTAGAAATTCATAGTAAATTATTTTAACTAATTAATCAAATTATTTTTGTTAACACAATGATTGGTCACTTCTCCCTCCTTTTTTCACAAACCAAATAAGTAATTAAGAAAAATAAGGAAATTATTAGGGTGCGTACTTTCAGCTAGATTCAGCCAAAGATCATCGAACTTGGGTAGACCTGCATTAAGCAAAATTTTGCAATTTCAATTATAGTTGCAACTCACTTTACTAGAAGCATAAATGCTCGAAATTGATACATACGTATATTCTTTATCATTGTTAGGCAGCGTATCCTACTCTTACTGTTCTGACTTGTTTCATCCTCTTCAATTTCATCTCTATAGACTAAGTTGTCTGGAATATCTGAAAACAAAAACGCCAAAACGCCAAATAGAGTCAGTGGTACTAGAATTAATGTGTTTTTTTTGCCAGTATGATTGTAGTTTGCAATGAACTCACATCTATATATAATCTCCAATCCATACATTATGGAAGAAGAACTTTTGAAAGCAGTCGGCATGCTAGCGAGAATGTGAAGACATGTCTTCCCACGATATTTCTCTGTCGCCAGCTCTGGATATTTGTCTAGTAACCAGATAGCTGTCTCTGCATTTAATAGACAATTCTCATGCATTTCTCAAATGTTAAAGAAAAAATGTGTTTGTAGTTGAAATTGCCTGAACTATTAAACTACAATCTCTTGCTCAATGGGGTCCCTTGGGTTTCAGGACTCAGACCCAGCTAGCTAATTGCAGTTCGGATTGCAAATCACCAATCTCTTTCCTAATCGGTGATTTAATTTAAAATTAAATCAAATGAGCAGTACGTACCGAGTTTTTCATTCATGATAGCAATATGAAGAATGGAGGGGCCATCAGGTTTTCTTGTGAAGTGATCATCTTTCAGATTTCCCTTTTGATGTTCCACCTCATTTACTAAGTACTCCACTGTTGCTTTATTGCCAAATGCCGCAGCCCTGTATAGCGCCGTCTCCCCTAAATTATTGCGGTCCATCAGCATCCTCATCGCTCGTCCTTCATGTGCACTCTCATCAACCAGGAATTTTACTGCCTTAAACTTGTTGCTCATGACCACCTCGTGAAGAAGGGTGTTGCCATGACTATTCTTCATCGTGAACACTTCACATTTTCTGGGCATTGCAACCATATTGAAGAGATCTCCAAGCAGATCTATGCTTCCCATATATGCTGCAATGTGGAAAACAGTATCTCCGCAGGGAGTGAGGGGATCGAATAAAGTACAATGTTTGGTCTGATACAGTGTTTTAATGTTTTTCCGGTCATTTTCCAAGGCCTTGACATAAGGCTTCATTTCCTCAACACGTTCATCTATAGGCACAGCTACTTCCGTTGTCATCTCTCCTCTTCTTTTTTCAATCTGCTAATTTGATAAATAGTTTTTTCTTAAGCTGCTTTAATTTGATGTCGATTCCTGGTTTTATGGTCTGCAACAGCTTGAAAGAGTAGTGAAAAATAATAGCATCTCAACTTTGCTGAACTAATTAATAAACTTAAAAGTTGAAAAGTTTGAAAACAAGATTATGGTAAAGAAAAAGGAAGGAATAACAAAGTTACTAGTTCTGCTAATTGCTAGAGGAAAGAAATACTTCTGTAGCCGAATCTAAATCCAAGCCAATAAGAAAAAGACACGTATTTGATCCATAACAAAGTAATAAAATATAAGATATCATATAAGATGCAGCATACAAATAATTTGATCCATAACGAAGTAATTTTTTAAAATGAAAATGACCTTGTATTCAGAACCATAAAATAAAAACGTACCTACGTAGGACCCACTTGCAGAAGCTGATGTGAGAAATGCTGGAATCGGAAGAAAATAAGAAAATATCACCATGATGAAAAAGTAGGAATTAGAGGAAAATATTTACTACTACGATGATGATGACGATGATGATGATGAAAACATATCAAAATTTTTTTACGAGTTCTATTTTTCTTTTAGTTTAAACTTTACCTTTCCCTTAATTTTTTTTCCTTTTATGTTTTCTGTTGAAATTTTTTTTTATCAGTAAAATAAAAGAGATTTGATTATATAAAATACAAGAGGTACTCCAATCTAAATATAAACAATTAAAGTAATCTAACTAAAACAAAGTATTCCCAATAAACATATAATCCAACACATTGCAGTCACTCTACTCATCCGGCTTTCCGTTTTTGTGTTTATAGAACACTCTCAGCAAGCTTCTATGTTTTCTCAGCAAGCTTCTATGTTTCCTTATGGCTGGAGCACATTCCCGTGGATTGTTTTCTGTTGAAAATTTTACTTCATTTATTCATTTTTTAAGAGTTTTAATTTGATTTTTTGACTTTTTAGATATAAAATTCAAATAAAAATTTAAC